ACCGGGCAGGGCAGGGCAGGGCAGGTCTGCTGGAGGAGTCCCAGGCCTCTGATCCTCTCCAACTGAAGCTGGTTTAAAAGGTTAAAGTCAACTATGTGCTGTGGCTCTCACCTATCTATAATCCCAGCTCCTCGGGAGGCTGAGATGCGGGGATCACAGCCTAAAGCCAGCCCAAAAGGCGCCATTTTCCCACTGTGGGGGTCTCAGTGTCTGGAGCAGCCCTGGGCCCCTCGGGGCTCTTTTTGCTTACTCCATGGAGAAGGGGCAGGTGAGAAGTTTTTGTTTTCTGTCCTGTTTTTTGGTCAAGATCTTGGCTGTCACAGCAACTGTCCCTTCGCTGTTCGCTCAAGGCTGGCTCTCTACAGCTCGAGCCGTGCCTCCACATCCGACTCTTTTTTGCTAGTTAACTGGCAAGTCTGTAAAGAGTCTCACGGGCTTTCCTGCCCAGGCTGGCTTCGAACCACCATCCTCAAAGCTCAGCCTCCTGAGTAGCTAGGATGACAGGCCCCACTCACACACCGTACAATTTGCCTTTGGAAAGCGGTGGAGGAAGGAGGGACCACGAGTGTTCCAACAGCTTCCCCGCGTTAGAAGCAAGCTCTCCGGGGAAGCCCGGGGCCCCAGGCCAGGGGCCGCAGAAGAGGTGAAGCGCCGGGGTATTGTGACATGATCCGGGCGGCTTTCCCCTGGGCCGGCCGGGGCCCGGGACACTGGGACAAGCCGGCCAGCATGGAGCCGGGGCCTGGGGTGGAGACTGCCCGGGCCTGGCGGGGGAGGCAGCCGCCGCGGCGGCTCGTGGAGCCCTGGTTCCAGGGCCGCGACCGGGTGCTGCTCGTCAACGAGTTCTGGAAGCGGGAAGATGGGGACGTGGCGGGGCCCAACGACCCGGAGCGAGACCCCGACCACCCCGGGCGGGACCCCGGGCGGGACCCCCGGCGGGACCCGCGGCGGATCCCCAGCGATCGGCGCCTCGGGTCTCGGTCCTCCATCGCCTCGGGCAGCGTCGGCGGCCCGCGGGGGCCCAAGCGCTCGGCGGCCGTCCTGACCGACAACGCCCACAGCCCGATCGTCCGGTGCAGGCGCCCGGCGAAGAGGATGCGGGTCACGGAGGAGCCGGAGGGCACGGACTCGGAGGACTCGGAAGCCCCGTGGACGCCTCCCGCGTCCCCGGGCCCGGCGGTGACGGCGGAGCAGCCCGCCGAGGCCGGCACGCAGCTCATGCTGGTGCTGTGCGGCCCCGCGGCCCTGCGCGCGCATCAGTCCGGCCTCCGGCGCCTCATGCGAGAGATGCGCGCGCAGAACGCGGGCCTGCCCGCCGCGCTGCTGGGCATCCTGGTGCAGCCCCGAGCCGGAGAGGAGGCCGCGGCCCGCCGCCGCCTGGAGGGGCTGCTCTGCGACGTCTTCGGCCCCGGCGAGGTGCACACGGCCGTCTTCGGCCCCGGCCGGCCGCAGGGCGCCCTAGACGTACGGCGCGCCTCCCGGCAGGTGCCCAGAACCCTCCGCATGGACCGCCACGGGGGTGGCGGCGCGGGCGCGGGGGTCGCGAACCCGGGGATCCCGTGGCCTGGCCGTGCCGCCCACCACCGCCCCAGCGACCAGAGGCCGAGGGCGCGGTACGGCTCGGTGTAGGGGCGGAGCTAGCCTCGGAGCAATCCGATTGGTTAGTTCGTTGATTGGAGTTGTCCAATGAGCTGGCTGGGAGGGGAAGCCCCGCCCTCCCGGGAGAGGAAGCCCCGCCCGGCCACGGGCCCTACCTGCCGCTTGCAGAGCGTGGTTTCCGGCGATTCAAAGTCCCGCCTTTGTGCGGGCCTGACGGGACCGTGGAGGACCCAGCGCCCCCCCACCCCAGACCCCGACCCCCCAGCGCCCCGCGCGCGGCCCCTTCCTCAGCCTGCCCCCTGGCCTGTTACCCAGGGAACTCCAGTGGCCACCGGCGTGCCTATTGTGAGCCAGGCCCTGGGCCCGGCTGCACCTCCAGTCCTCACTCCACCCTCTGGGCAGCAGGCCAACCGACCCGAAACCACGAGGCCTCCCAGCCGTGGGCCCGGGGCCTCCGCCCTCCCCCCCCTTCCCCACCCAGGGTCTCCCCTGCAGCTCTGCGCACCTCCTGTTTGCAGAAATCCCTCCCGAGGCTGAGCTGAGGAAGTACTGGGGGGGGCATGGTTACAGAGGCTCTGCCGCCGTGTGCGCCCTGGGTGTCTGGGACAATTGCCAGAAAAGGGCGGCGGGGGGCAGATAACCCTCACTACCTGACTGCACACCCCTTAGGCTTCTCACTCTCCTAACTCACTGCGGCACTCCTACGCGCTGAAAGCCCCCGCCCTGTGGGCCGGCCCGTGCTTCTCAGCCAAATCCAGAGAATCCTCCTCCACCTTAGAGCGCTGGTTCTTCCGGAGAACATCGACGGTCCTCACGCCCATCACTCACACACCTCCATCACACACACACCACGCCTCCAGCCATCCCACATCACCACCTCCTGCACCTTCTCTTGATTCCTGCAGACTGCCTGGAGCCGGGGGACCTCGGCTCTCTTTGGTCTTCACAGCCTGGGGTTTGTGAATGGGAGTGACAACAGGCTAAAGTTACTCCAGCATCCAGACAGAATGTAATCTATGTGTCCTGGCATTCAGGAGACTCAAGAGGCGGCAAGACGGTTTCCAGGCGAGGTCCTCAAGAAAGGTTTTCTTGAGATCTCTTTGAGAGGGGTCTTGGCCATAGAGGGGAGGGTGGAGGGAAAGGAAGTGTATCCCTCAGGACCCCTGGTGGCCACAGGCAGCCTGGTAAGAGTTCTGGACAAGAACCCCTGTGCCATTCTAAGACAAGCTTTTGTTCCTTGAAGGCCCCTCTCTGCTTCCAGGAACCATCCAGGCTAAGGAACCACTTAAATCTGTAGAAAGTTCTCTGAGATTCCTCCACCTGTCTCCTGAGGGGATGAGGCATCCTTCGGATGAAATGGAAGCTCAGGGCTCCCAGGAAACTCTTCCTGTGAGCACCTGGTTCTTGAAGCCAGTGATTCTCAACCAAGGGGGATTTTAACAGCCCTTGTATCTCCCTGGGGTGTTTAGCCATGTCTGGGAACATTCTGGATTGTCCTGGAGAGGCCCTGTGGGTCAAGGCCAGAGAAGCTGCTCTCATTCCTATTAAGTCACAGGCAGGTTTCCCACAGTGAGACATTATGTGAAACATTATCCCACAATGCTAGAAGGGCTGAGACTGAGAAGCCTGAACCACGGTCAAAAAGGTCAGAGGTGTTCTAGACCTGTCTGCTAAGTCCGAGGGAAGACACTGGCCGCAGTTCCCAGCCTCCCCCCTCCCCTTGAGCCCCTGCCCCTTGCTCTGGGCTTCAGGGTACTGACGGGGCATGGACAGGTCTTGTAGATTCAAGTGTGAACCAAATGCAATCTTACACAATTGATCCAGTCTCCCCTCATGCTTTTGAGGGGTGGGGTGCTTGTACTGGGACTTGAACTCAGAGCCTCACACTCTTACTTGGCTTTTTCTACTCAAGGGTGGTGCTCTACCACTTGACCCACACCTCGACTTCTGGCTTTCTTTTGCTGGTTAATTAAAGATAAGAATCTCACAGATTTTTCTGCCCCGGTTGGCTCCAAACTTCAGATCTCAGCCTCCTGGGTAGGTAGAATGAAAGGTACAAGCCACTGGCACTTTTAAATTTACATTCAAAGGATTTTTTAACTCATTTACCATTTTAATTCATTGTTTTAAAATCTTTTTCTGATTCCTTATTGCCTTTGGGGAGAGGGAGTGTTCATGAAAAGAAAGAACCCTAAACTGAAATTAGCCCTGTCCATGCTTCCAACTAGCTGTGTGACCTCAGGAAGGTAACTGAACTTCTCTGAATCTTCATATCCTCTTCTATAAAGAAACTGTCTAATTCTTAAGAGTCTTCACAGGCTGTGGAAGCCTGAAAACAGGTCCTGCACTTTCAAAGTTACACTTAGCTGGGCCGGGGGAGGCGGGGAGAAAGGGGGCTTCTTTGAGCCTTCTTAGCCAGCTAGCTCAGCCTTGAAGCTTCTCTCTGGAACAGATCTCCAGGCACAGGAAGGGTAGTGCGCTCACCTTCCCAGCGACACCTTCCTGGTAGAAGGTCTCTCTGTACATGGCAACGCTTTTTGTTGCCACATGGGATGTTCAGGCTGTCTTTTTAAAATACTTTCCCCTCTTCTGTCCGAAAATGAAAACCACACGGTTCATTTATTAGAGAAAAAGTCACAGTCACCACATGTGGGGCACAGAAGATCATCAGTAATTTTTTTTTGTTTGCAGCTGGTATATTGCAGGGAGAATTCTATCCCCAACAAGAGGATGAGCAAAATCAGGACATTCCCCCTCCCCGGGTCCCCTCCTACAGTAGGAGATGCGGGCTGTAAAGGAAGCAGAAGTTTCTCTGAGATGCTGGAACGCTGTAGGCCAGGGAAGCCAAAACCCTCCAAGAAGCGGCAAGTTTTCTGGAAAGTTAACCTGCAGCTTACTAAAGAGGTCCTGAGAGAAGCGATTGTGGGTTTGGTTTCGGACATGGAAGTCAGCAAGTTGAGGGTCTTAGAATAAAACAGGGAGCTCACACGAACCAGGACTGCACCGGCAGAAAGGGGCCTGAAGGTGGCGCTCTAGTCACAGACTCCTCGGGATACAGGTGTCACAGGCCCCAGCGGGCTTAAGCCAGGCCTTCCACACAAGCAGTTAGGCGCTGCCCCTCTGGCCATCCATCCTGGCGTTGCTAATTCCCCCAGGAGAAGGGAGGACACCAGGCTTGACGATGCCCACCAAGAAGATTGTCCCAGAGCCCCTGGGCCTGGGGGCTTATCTGGCTTTTGTGACCTCACAGGAGGTGTGGCTGACTGTTCTCTGTAGGCTCTGGATCCAGTTAAAGAGCCAGAGCCCATACTTCTGGGACAGAGGGCACTGGGCCTCCCGAGGAGGGAGCCAGGAAATAAGACGGCTCATGTAGGTTCACGCTCGGGCTGGGAGGACCCACCATGAAGAAGGTCAAGAAGAAAAAGGCCACAGCCAGACGTCGCCGGGACTCCACCTCTCCACAGGCGAGCTCTGACTCCTCGCATCAGCCCAGCTCCGAAGCTGCCCAGACTTGCCCCGAGCCCATCCTGCAGCAACCTTGCCCGCCACAGTCTCACCTGGACAGCAGCCCCCTGATGGGCAGATCTCAACCCAACACTCAAGACTCCATGCCCCAAGCTCTTCCAGCTCCTGAACCCCGACTCTCCACTCGGTGCCTCTTAAGCTCAAAGGCTAATTCCTCAGCAGTTCCACCCTTCTGGAAAGCAGGTGGGCAGCCTTCTAGAGCTGAAGCTGTTGTAGGCTTCCTTGCATTAGAGCCATGGAGCTGCGCTTTTGGAGGGTGTAGGGGGTTATTATTTTTTTACTTTAACTCGAGCTACTAGGAGTCCTGAATTTCACTGAAGAAAGCCATGTGTGCAAACTAACATGTAACTGGACTCCCCGATAATGCTGTCTCATTGGTGGGAGACAGGAAATGTCGTGTGGCTGCTAAAAGTTTAAAACAAAAAGATGCGTTAATAAGTATACGGTTTCGAAGGGAGGTGATGGTATTGTTTTATCCTGTATCTTCATGGCTGGGCCTAAAAGATGCCTAATATACCAGTCCAAAAAAGACAGTACGGGGTGATAGGAAGAGGAGGCAGGACCGGTAAGAATCACTGGGTATGAGATGGATTGCTCAGGGAGCTGAGGATGCCTGTCTGTAGCTGGAGATGGGGGTGGAGATTGTCCACATTATCCCAGAGGTCTGACGGCCCATGGACAGGATATGCAGATAACATATAGTATTTCCAGCTACATTTAATTAGTTAAATAATTAATCATTGTGGCAATGCTGAGACTTGAATTCAGGGCCTTGAGCTCTCACTTGGATTTTTTGCTCAAGGCTAGTGCTCTACCACATGAGCCACAGTGCCATGTCCGCCATTTTGATAGCTAAGAATCTGATGGACTCTTCTGCTTAAGGCTGTTTTCAAACCTCAGTCCTCAGATGTCAGCATCATAAGTAGCTAAGATTATAGTGGTAAGCCACCAGCACCTGGCTTCCCAGCTAAATTTTAATTTTATTAATTCCTTTATTATTTTGCCAGTCCTGGGCTCAAACTCAAGGCCTGGGCATTGTCCCTGAGCTTCTTTTGCTCCAGGCTCGCATTCTACCATTTGAGCCACAGTTCTACATCCAGCTTTTTGGGTAATTTATTGGAGAGAGGAGTCTCACAGACTTTCCTGCCGTGGCTCACATTGAACTGTGATCCTCAAATCTCACCTCCTGAATAAAAAGGATTACAGACATGAGCCACCAGCACCCAGCTAAATTAGAATTTGACATAAACAATATTTTTTAGTATATGTATCCTGAATATTGCATGGGCTTTCTGCATTTTTATTTGTTAAACTGCCCACCTTTCCTAGGGAAGAACTAGACGCAGACAGATAACTGCTCAACATTGACTACTCTGCAGGAGTAACTCCATCTAAAACGCAATGGCTATCTAGGAAATGCGGCCTCATGCCCTTGGGTAGCCCACGAGAGTCTGAATAAGTCTGGAACTATGTGAGGGTATTTGGGGCAGAGTTCAAGAAGTGGGGGGAGGAGTTGGTAATAACCAACTATTTTTCTCATCAAGCCACATGTATTGGGTTCCCAGTACTCAACCTAACCATCTCAGCTCACCTTACCTGAAAGCCCGGTAGGGATCAATCTCCTGTCTGGGGCAAACCAGATTCATGGAAGTCAAATGATTAGCTCTGGATCGGGGCCTGGTAGTGCTGCAGGGAACACAGCCTTTCCATTCCAGGGGGCTAGAGGTCTCCCCAAGAGGCAGCATCCTTCTCTGGGCTCTGCTTCTGCCAATAACAGGCTCAGGGGCCCTGAGCAGACCAGGCTCCCTGGGCCACAGAGCTCCCTCTGTGCTGCTGTGGGCACTAAATCTAAGAGATTGCTGTGAAGGAGTGTCCGTGGCCATGGACCCATGCATCCTTGATATGTGGTACTATTGTGGTGGTATGTTGTGCGGAGTATGAGCATCAACCACAGACATGAGCATGTCTGGATTACGGCCTTCAGAAGCAGTGTCTAGAGAAAGTGAAATTCTTTATTCCTAAATCGTGTATGTGTGTGTGTGTGTGTGTGTGTGTGTGTGTGCCAGTACTTGGACTTGAACTCAGAGCCTCTCAATTTTGCTTGGCTTTTCCCACTCAAAGCTGCTGCTCTACTTCATGAGCCACAGCTCTACTTCTGGTTAAATTGGAGATAAAAGTATTACAGACGTTTCCATCTGGGCTGGCCTCAAACCATGATCCTTAGATCTCAGCCTCCTAGGATTACAGGCATGAGCCATCAGCACTGAGCTTCATTCCTAACTCTTTTAATGACTGTAATATAACTCACTGCCGCCAAAGAAAACTTTGGCTAATTGAGGCCACAAGTGGTAGAGTGCCAGCCTTGAGTGAAAAGCTAAGGGACAAAGCCCAGGTCTTGCGTTCAATCCACAGTACCAGAAATAAATAACTAAAGGCAAACCTGCAGTTGCCTTCTGAGAGCAACGTGGCTGTTGGTGGAGGCTTCTAGAAGAAGCCTCCGGGCTGTCCCCTGCCCTCAGGAAGCAGGTACATCCTTCAATTCTCTCCTTCTCTGTCCACCAGGACCTCTGACCTATGCGGGCCTGCGCTCCTGCTCCTGCTCCACCTGCCCGGGCAGCTCGGCTTGCTGGCGTCGCCTGGGGCTGTGCCACAGCCGCATCTTCGATGTCCTTCTGCCTCGGGACTGTCAGGCCATACCAGAGAGCGGATTCCCAAACCTCCTCACCTTCTACAGGTTCCCGGGGCGGGCGGGTGCGCAGCGGCAGGTGCACAGTTGCCCAGGGCCATCGCCATCCTCAGGCCTTGCTAGCGGTCAGGTGTGACCCCTGCAGGATTCACAGGCCAAAAGAGCCCTCAGAGATACCACTTCTTGGGGGTGGGGGAGTGACAGACAGGGCCTCTCTGTCCCAACCCCTGCCGTCCTCTCTTTCCTTTCTTTTTTTTTTTTTGTCGTGGGGCTTGAACTCTGGGCTTGGGCGCTGTCCTTGTGCTCTTCAGCTCAAGGCAAGTGCTCTACCGCTTGAGCCACAGCACCACTTCCTGTTTTCTAACGGTTTATTGGAGATAAGAGTCTCACGAACTTTCCTGCCCGGGCTGGCTTTGAATCGCGATCCTCAGATCTCAGCCTCCTGAGTAGCCAGGATGACAGGCATGAGCCACCGGCGCCCGGCTTCTTTCCTTTTTTTTTGAGAATGAGAAGCCTTCTCTTCTTCACAGCCTTTTATAACTTCAGTTCATCACATTGTGGGAGGGGGGGCCCTCAGCTTGGTGACCTGTGCATAGCTCCCATGGACTTAGGGATAAACAGTCACTCTAGCTGGGTGGCTCACGCCTGTAATACTAGGTGTTCAGGAGGCTGAGATCTGAGGATCGTAGTTCAAAGACAGCCCAAGCAGAAAAGTCTGTGAGTTTCTCATTACCAATTAACCAGCAAAAAGCCAGCAGTGGACTATGGCCCAAGTGGTAGAGCACTAACCTTGAGCGGAAAAAGCCAAATAAGAGCACAAGGCTGCGGTCTGAAGCCTGTGGGTTGATCGTAACCCATCATCTCCCTCCAGTAATAGCCAGACCTGCTCCCCATTACCCTGCGCCCCCCCCACACAAGGGTCATGTACCTGGTCTGTGAGTGGCAGCCCCTTCTGGCATCTGCCCTTCTGTTCTTCTGCCACAAAGCTATCAGGAGAAATGCTTGTCACTGTCCCTCCTGAGGGTACCCCTGTCCCCGTAGGAGACAGGCTGAAGATTCCCCCATTCTTGAAAGTTTTGCTACGTGGTAGGCATGAGCTAGGAGAGGGGACTCCATTCCTCAAGTGAGCAGCCCCACAAATCTCCATGGAGCTCCCCACCCCAATACTTGGGAATCTTGCATCCCTGACCCAGATAGCACCCCATTCTCCTCATCTTCTTCCAAGCCCCTCTCCTACCCAGTCCCTCTCCCAACCATACTTGAGATACTCATCTCTCCCATGCCTCAATCCCAGCTACTCAGGAGGCTGAGATCTGGGGGTCCCAATTCAGCGCCAGCTCAGGCAGTCAAGTTTATGAGATTTTTATCTCTAATTAACCAGCAAAAAGCCAGAAGTGGAGCTGTGGCTCAAGTGGTATATAGAGTGCCAGCCTTGAGCAAAACAAAACCAAGTGAGAGCGTGAGGCCTCGAGTTCAAGAGAGACAGACAGACACAGAAACAGAGACAGAGAGATGAACCGATATGGAAGTGGGACTTGGACATACCAGAACCAAAATTCCCTCTACAACCCGACAAGTCCCATCCAGAAAGGACCGACACACCACTGGTCACCACTGACTTCCCTCCCGCCCTTCCTGTGTTTCTCCACCTGCAGCCACATGGTGTCATGGGACCCGATGAGCTAAAAGCCAACCTGTGCTACCAGGGAAACGAACTCTGCATAGGACAGTGGAGGAAATGAGAGCAGGGTCTTTCCCTCCCATGTGTCTGCCTGATGAGTTAAGCCACGTGCATTTAGAGACAAGGCAAGAAGTGCAGTGTCCAGAAAGGATTACAGGAGTTTCAGAAAAGGATGATGCTGCAACTACATGGGTGGTCTGGGGGGGGGCAGTGTGTGAGCTGAGTGTAAAAGGACCCTGGGATTCTCTACAGCGTAAAATGAGAAGGAAAGGAATTATGGGTGGATGAAAGGCAAAAACTAGACTCAGAATTGGAAAGGGGAGGGGGTAAAGATCCAGTCTGACCAGGATAAACCTGAATTCAGGCACCAGTGGCTCACATCTGTAATCCTTGTTACTCAGAATGCTGAGGTCTAAGGAGCAAAGCTAGCCAAAGCAAGAAAGTCCATGAAAGTCTTTATCTCCAATTAACCAGCAAAAAGCTGGGTATGGAGGTTTGGCTTAAGTGAGAAAACACCAGTCTTGCACGAAAAGATAAGGGAGAGCACCCGGGCCCTGAGTTCAAATCCCAATACCAACACACACACACACACACACACACACACACACTTATAGTATGAATTATGTGCAATATAAGCACATGCTTCTTGGATTCTCAATGCATACGATGGTGGTTTTTGGTGTAATCTATGCATTCATATTAAATAAGAATCCCTACTTTAACAGGCTTTTTTTTAGCAAAATAGCTCATGCTCTTTTTGAATGCCTTCCTTGCTGTTCTCAATCGGGTGGTGTGCTTTTCCTGTCTTTAACATGCTATCTCCAAAATGGAGTTATCAACCTGCCTCAGAGGGTTGTTGTGAGGACTGGAGAAGGCTTTGGGTGCCAGGTGTTTGGCTCCAAGCCTGTCACAATGTCGCCGCCATGTCACTCATGACCTGGTCCCCCTCGGGGCTGCAGAGTCCCAGACCAGCTCACCCTCTGGCCTCTGGGGTCTTCCAGCCAGTATTTGTGGGTTGGGGCAGGGTCAGGAACTGTTCTCTTAACGAGCAAGAAGGGATCTGATCAACCCAGCCTGAGGGGACCCTGTATGTTCAGCTTTCTCCAGCCTATGGAGGGAAAGCTCAACTTCCCAATCCACGCATCCTGCCTTGACTTACAGAAGACCCTCCGGAAAATCCCCTGGACGCTATCCACGTGCTCCAAACCCTTGGGACTGTTGCTGTAGCACTTGGGGTCCTGGGAGCTGCATATTACATCACTGAATCCTAAAGAAGAATATCCCAGGCCCAAGCCTGGCAGGTACGGAGCATCCCTTGTCCCCTCTCTGAATGGAGCTGTCTTTGAAGGGAGAGAGCCAGAGCCTGGTGTCTCATCCTGGGCTAAGGGTGGGCTGGCCTGGCTCCTTCAGGCAGCCTGCATACTCTCCCAAGTCAGGACCATCCAAACCAAGCCCCTCCCCGCTCCCTGTCCCCCAGCCTGACTGGGCTCCTCCACACATGCGCACTGGCCAGGAGAAGGGGGGGGGTGGCAGGGAAAGAGGTTCTTCCCCATCTCAGAACTGCCTGGAAGCTTATCTGATGTTTACTATTCCGGTCCTATCTATCCTCGATGGCTCCACCCCCACCACCCCAGCTCCAGCGATTTCCTCCGCATTCTCCATCATACTCCAGTCTGTTCCATGCTGTGCTGCAAATGACCAGTGGTAAGTGCAGAATCTGTACCCCAAGGGGTGGGGGGCAGAGCACACCTTACAGGGCTATCTTCCATCCTCTCTTGTCCTGAAGCATCATCTGCACCTAGAGACCGAGGCTTGCAAACAGCCCCAGGCTTAAGAGAGGAGGTAGAGGATGGATGTCATTGTGGAAAAAACTACTTGGAGAAAGAGGTCAGCTCTAGACTGTCAGAGACCAGAATAGACAATTCACAAGATCCCAAGACCTTGGTCTAGAAAAAGGGGGCGGTGGATGTCATCACTGCTGTGACCATGCTGGGGGGGGGTGAGGGAGGAGCCCTCCACTGCACACGGAACTGGACAAGAAGCAGTCACCATTAGTGGAAGGCAATGTGTCAAATCTCTCAAAAGCCAAATCCAGAAACTAGCTCCAGTGAGAGCTGAGCATCCTCCCCGGCGTCTCCCTGTCTGTGCAAAGGGTATTTGTGGACTAGCATTAGAGTATCAGCGGTCCTCGGGAAGCATGGCAGTGAAGAGCCTCCACTTCCCCATCTGTAAATAAGGAAAGCAACGGCGCTCCCTTCTTGGGCCTCTTGGAGTGGTGAAGGACTCCAGCACAGCATGTGGCCGACGGGTCTTGTCTCCTATCACTGTGGTGGCTGGACAGGTGCTGGCAGTTCTGGTCTAGACTGTGCTGTCTATGAGTGGGCATTAGGGATTCATTCTTAACTTCTGTGACAGTGGCGTCGTCTTTAGACAAATGGGTCAAAACCCCACCAAGGGCGACAGTTGTGGGGATTCAATGCGCGATGTGCAAGCCAGGCACTGGTGGCTTACACCTGTAATCCTAGCTACTCAGGAGGCTGAGATAGGGGGATCACAATTCAAAGCCAGCCTGGGCAGGAAAAATCTGTGAGACTTACTTATCTCTAGTTAACCACTCAAAAGCCAGAAATGGAGCTGTGGTTCCAAATGGTAGAGGGCCAGCTAGGAGTGAAAAGGCCAAGTAAGCAAGTATGAGGCCTGACTTCAAGCCCCAACACCAGTACGGGGGCGGGGGGCGGGGGGAGACAAACCGTAAATCCAAATATCATAGAACCTTAGCGGCCGTGAGACGCTGCCCTCTGTGTTCCGAACACCAAGACAGGTTCCAATCTGGGAGTCCCTCCTCCCCCCCCCCCCACCAGAAGATGGAATGCAAAGGGACAGAAATAACGCCCCTCCTCCCGAGATCTAATACAATGACCAATACCACTTAGGCATCTCAGTGTCAATCAAGGGTTTTGTCCCACCCACTGTAGGGTTCATACATCCTGAGCCCTGGGGTGGAGGAATGGAGGAGGGAGAATAATTATTGGAGAAGGAGGGGAAGGGAAGGGAACCGAGGAAGAGGGGCAGTGGGAAGAGTGGCAGCTGACCCTGGGCTTAGAGTTGTTCCTCTGGACTCTGACCCTCTCTCCCTCCCCTTTGCTAAGACCCTGCAAGTCCTCACAGTGATAAAATCAGCCTTCCCACCCACTGATATGTGTTCACTGCGGGTCAAGTGGTGGCCTGTGCAGTGTCACAGCTCTCCTCCAGGAGTGACTCCCCTTTCTCAGGGACCGCCCTTAGCCCAAGGGTTGCTTGGTTACTGGCTGCTCCCCTAGATACAGAGTTAGGAAAGAGGGACCCCTTCCCCCCTCCACTGTTCCTGTCCCCAGCATTCCTGTGGTGCAGCTTAGAGAGGGAGGGAGGCTGGACCGGCTTCTTTCCAGGCCCACGTGCTCGCTGCTGGCCAGAGAATGGTGGGATCAATAGCAGGAGCCATTCAGCTGCCTGAGACCTGTTTGTGTTTGCTTGATTTCTCGGTTGGTTGGTTGGTGACATCGGGGTTTGAACTCACAGCCTTGCACTTGCTAGGGAGGCAATCCATTACTGAGCCATGCCTCCTGACCTGTTTACCGTTTTTTGAGATAGGGTCTGATTATGTTGCCCAAGCTGCTCTGGAACTCTCTCAATCCTCTGGCCTCTCCTTCCTGAATGATGGGATTACAGGTGTGCACTACCATGTTTAGCTTTCTGGCGTGTTTTTTTTCCAATGCAAAATACTTTAATATACAGTTATTAGAATTATCTAAGTATCACTTGTAAAAATTGTTATATCAAAGCCGGGCACTGGTGGCTCATGCCTGTAATCCTAGCTACTCAGGAGGCTGAAATCTGAGGCTCATGGTTCAAAGCCAGCCCAGACAGGAAAGTCCATGAGACTCTTATCTCCAATTAACCACCAGAAAACTGGAAGCGGAGCTGTGGATCAAGTGGTAGAGCACTCATCTTGAGCTGAAGAGCTGAGGGTCAGCACCCAGGCCCCAGAGTTCAAGACCCACGACCGACCAAAAAAAAAAAAGTTATATCACATTAGATGATTCTATAAAATAAAAACATAAATCACACACTGACAATAACCCCTGCAGTCCAAGAATACCCCCATCAATACTACAAATTACAATTAAGAAAACTGAAGACATTAGACGTGTAAACAGAAGTAACTGACTGAATGCATTCATTCATCAAGTACAAGATATTTAGCACTGCTGCTTAAAGTCACTAATAACACAGTTTCAGGTACAAGTTCATAAAACTTGGAGTACAGTCTCCATAGTAATGTGTATTCATTTGTATGTAAGACCATTTCACCTCAAAATTCCTTTTTGTTTTTTTTTGGGGGGGTCCGGTGGTGGGGCCTGAACTCTGGGCCTGGGCGCTGTCCCTCAGCTCTTCAGCTCAAGGCTAGT